TGTTATTATTAAATTTTATGTTCAATCTATAAATAAAGTATAGTACAATCGCTCCAAAACAATATTCAAAATACACAATTTACGAAATGAGCTTACTTAAGAACAAGAACTGTGTCCTACTGATCACAAGGAGAGGCAAGTGCCGTTTCTGTTGTCATTTTCACGTGTCCATAATTTTGTCATTTTTTTTTTAAAATGAAATTAACTAAATTTCGGATATGATGTGTAGGTAGAATCACTTTGGCGATATTAACGAAAAACGATCTTGTCGATTGTTGTAGGACCGCAAGAACCCGTTATATAACTGAATTGGATAGCAATCTTGAATGTGTGTTATGAAAAAAGGAAAGCATACGCCGTTTTCTGTTCAGTAAACAATTGCAAACTTATGTTGATTGAATATGTTTTCAATACACAGTAGCTTAAATATCAACAACATTAAAAATCAAAAATAATTGAAAGTGTAGACTAATTTTAATTAATCATAGACATACAACATCCCTGAACAATGGTATGGTAGCGAGCATAAAACTTTTTAAATACAGATTTCAATTTATTGACCAGATTAAATTAATGTAACCACAACTATTGGGCTAGACCTGGGATCATAAATACAGAACTTATTTATTTGTTATAATAGAAATCCGTATAAAATAGGTTAACGCCTGCACGTTGGATCAGAGTGTCTGTCATTGAGTCAAATGGCGTGGTTTCGATTCCCCGCTTGTTCGAGTAGGGTTGCCTGTCCAACCTCGTGGGTTTTTTCAAGGTCCTCTGGTTCTCCCCCCCCCCCCACTTGCGATAAAGATCCCTACGCGCAAGCGAATTATTGAAATTAAACTGAACTATATGTTAATCCTGAAAAGACCTAGTTTGTGTCGAGTGGACGTTATCCCCCCCCCCTCTCTCTCTCTCTCTCTCTCTCTCTGATATTTCCGTTGTCCTGTCATTGGTTAGGCCTATTAGAATATTGCCGACTGTGCAGATCTGAAGGCGAATAAACTAATTGCTATTTTAAGAATCTCCTCGTAAATTTAAGAGTTCTTTTCCACTAATTTAATCTTTAAAAACTAGTTTAATAATAGGAGACTTTACGTTCAGACTTTTTAGTAATTACAGCTTCAAAGAATACTGAATACATCTTATGTTATCTTAAGGTCTTATTAACGGAATGTAAACCACTGCCAAATCTAATTAGTTGATTATTTAAATTTACTAAATTACATAAAAAAAACTGTACCGACCCTACTACATGCGAGTTGATGAGCTTACACTGCATGTGATTCCATATCGTTGTATTGCCATGGTAACCACGATATTTCTCAAGAAAATTACAGGTAGTTAAAGACAGACATCTTCATATCTGATCAATATTTAGAACTAGTAATTTTAGAGATGATTAAAGCCGCTTGCTAACAAAAAAATTATTAAAAAACCAAAAAAAAAACCACCACAGTGATTAACAGCAATTAAACATTGTAATAAGCCAAAACTCATGAAGGGTGGTTCAAAGAACTTCACGGTTTTGTCATGTAAATTGTTTGGGTTCGTGGGGAGCTTATATTAAATCATATCTTTCCCTAACACTGTGACTTATTAAAAATTATAATGATTTACCTCCCCTTTTCTCCATAACAATACTAATGGGTTGAAATAACAACACAGAGTTATTAAGACGTTCATAAAACCAGTTCACGCTTAATTAACTTTTATAACATCGTTTTACAAAGCACCCATCGAAAAAATATGCTTTATGGCTTAATAAGCGTATCATTACCATGCAGTGTGGGTGAGAGTCATTTGCCAGTGTTCCTGGAATTGTATTCTGTGCCACGAACAATGCCATGACATCATGTTAATGACACGGACTGGCATTGAGGTCAAATCCGGGGTGTTCTTCTGTTTTTGCGGGCGACACGTGCAATAAATGAAGTTACTACGAGTTGTCGGTGTCAATTGAGGGACTGGAACCCACTTCAGATATTTTCTAAAGGTACTTCATAAAAAATTGTTTGAAAGCGTTCGCATCGCTGTATAAAGACTGAAAATGTCAATTCGAGTCTGTAATTTTGTCAAACTATCAAAATATTTACATAAATAAACCACTGTATATAATTATATGCCTTAATATAAGAACATTTAGTTGATTAAATTTGTATATTTTCATGAATGTTTCAAGTCCCATTCCTTAAATAGTGTACTGGAAACGATAGGAGGTGTGTGTGTGTGTGGGGGGGGGGGGGGGTACCCAACAAAACTTTGGCTGTTCATTTAGTATAGTATTATACCTCTCTATACATACATGTATATTTAAAACCTAACGATTTTTTTATTTTCCTTTTGTCGATGACTCCGGTTACTTTGCCATCTTCAACTGTATAATGTACTTATTAATATACACGTATTATATTTTTGCTTTGCTTAAATTAACCTGTCTAAGACCATAAACAATATGGATATATTATATTCATAATAATGAAATAATGACATAAGTGTTTTTTATATGAAAGACAAAAGAAGCATGCATCTTCCATTCTTGTAGAGATAACGAAATTCGGGGTTGTAATTACATATTATATTCCAAGTAAAAACTCAATTTTTGCCTGACATTTGATAGCATAATGGTTAAATTATTTACAACATAATGGTAGCTTTCTGCTTGGTCAATTTCCTATTCGTCCAAACAGATATTTAGGGTATAAATCGACCTGATGAACGGGGAAAGGGGAATAAATCGTGTATCAAGACGCACATTAAGACATGGTGTCATTGGATCGTGGTAATTCGTCGTGAAGTAGTCCATTCGCTGTGTGATAATGTTTAACGTCTTTAAGTGTTGAGTTAGTCATTTGTAAGACATCCGCGGTCGCCATTTATTATTGTCATATATAGACGATCCTGTTTTAAGTCGGTAGTTCGGCAGTCAGAGTTAATAAATCAAGCTAAGCTTCCATTAAATAAGGAATTATAGCACTATGGTTAAGACAAAACCGAAAAGAAATCCACATAGAATGTCTTTCTACCGGATGGCGTGTTAATCTGTAGTTTGAAATGATAGCTAGGATTTAACACAGCAAATACTCGTAAATAATTAAACATATTCCAATTTTTTTCATCCTAGATCGTGAAAAGGCACCAACAGTGAAATGCTAGATGATTTTTGATAAGCTGTTATCATAGACATTAGCCCCTATATCATTTTTCCTATGATTAGTTTATAATTAATTTATGGCAGATCATCGCATTCACAAAGTTACAGCCCTTTTACCTTTTTCAAATAAACTGATGTTAATCTAGCATAATTAATATTTCTATTCAATATTATGACACAGATGCTGTGTTTTAAACAACAAAAATCAATACGGTTAAACTTAAATGCATCTTTTTTTCCAAAGATAGAAATCAAGATCAGTTTACATGTTAAATTTGTAATAATAAAAATTTGTTAAGAATGAAAATCATCAGATTCAGACTAATGTAAATATTATTTTACTAAAAATTTAGATAAACATCTTTTTTATGTCCTGTATAATTATTTATAGCCTTAATTTATAATATATTTAGAGTGAAATCAGACCATAACTTATTAATAACTTCCTCTTTTTTCTAAATAATGCATTAATGGATTACTAAATTAATGATATTGATATTGTAAATACACAATAAATCGAGATCAGGTTAGCTTTTTTTTCTTGAATAACGAATTATGCTGTTTAAAAATTATCTTTGTTTTAACTGGTCGAATATTTAACTCTTTGAAGTTTTTGTGTATTACTAGATTAATTATAATGGTATGGTCAATACAGATTGAGACACAGGTTCCCTTTATTTTCTTGAATAACGAATCCTGCTGTTCAAAAATTATCTTTATTTTAACTGCTCGAATATTTTAACTCTTGTAAGTTGTTCAGTATTACTAGATTAATTATAATGGTATGGTCAATACAGATCGAGACACAGGTTCCTTTTATTTTCTTTAATAACGAATCATGCTGTTTAAAAATTATCTTTGTTTTAACTGTTCTAATATCTTACTCTTCCAAGTGGTTGCTAACATATTTCTGCATTTTAACATGTAATGAATAACATGCTTAACAATTAATTTTATTGTGTAGCAACGATAAACCGTTTCTCTTTTGAAATAAAATTACCTCTCTCAGACATAAACCTAGAAATTCCTTTCCCCTGAGATGGTGAATCTGACAATGTAGATAGGAACATAAAGTTCAAGCTTGATATAATTATGATATCTTATCATGTACCACCTATGTGTGTATCTTGTATACATCTAGTAAATTACATATATTTTATTACAATAATACTTTACGCTGTGTATACAAAATAAGAGCATGTAATGCTATTACTGTAATAAAACACAAATAAAGAAGACATAATAACATAATGCTCATATTCACAAATATATACTCGTTTAGTATGAGCGAATATTAAGCAATAAACGAAGCTGTTACGACATCTTTAACAAAACAACACAGCGCGGCCATTCAATAATGTTCAATAACATTTACACAGTAAAGAAATATATGACTAGCTGAATTAGCATACAGATGGCTTTGAATGTCCCCATTGGAAATCAACACATAAAATCTCTACTAAAATGTCAATAAAATTTTCAAAACGACTTCTCCGTTTCAAAAGGCAACTTGGCCTCAGCTTGCAGACACGTGAAAAGCGATGTAAAGCCTAGTCGAAGATATGGGTCCCCAAATCCAGCTTAAGAGGCTAAGTTTTATGTGAATAATGAATTTTTATGAACCTCGTAGGACCATGTGTGTCTAGAAGAGAGATATTTAGTTAATGGTAATGTGAGCGAATAATTTGTGTGTGCTTCTCTACTATTAGTCGAAGGTGTAGACATAAAACATGTAAAGCAGTAAAATTGCTATCGGCGGGTCACTGCACAGCCTTTTAATTGCTCTGGTTTATTTTATGCGCACTTTATGGACGATATCTATCGGTTTAAAGTAGTAAAACGTACTAACCTACAATTGACATCCACGGATAAAAGGAGGGAGTCTCCGATTCACCACCAGTGCCGCTGACATCCTTGGCGAGGGGACTGATGTTGTCAGAGCGAACCATATGAGTTGGGGTACAGTTAGCTTGGGTGTCCGGGCAGGTTTCCCCAAACCTCATTCCGTGCATGTTCATATTTGGATAAAAGGATCGATTCGCTTGAAGCCCCATCCTCAAGTCGTGATTTCTGTGTTGAAGTGCTGCATCCATACGGCATGGATCTGTATTATAGGAACCATGCATATAATATCTTGGAGTTCGGTAATTTCCAGTCGGGCATATATCTGGGATGTTGAGAAAATGGTCCATATATCCCGAATTTTCTGCACTGTGAAGATCCTCTCTCGGCGCTCCATGCCGGACAGGAAGATAGGAACTCATAATGTTATGACTATCTGTGGTTAGTCCAGTGTTTATCCCCTCTGAAACCATGAAGAAGAAAAATTATTTTACTTGCAGAAAGTCAATGAAATGGTTCCTAAACCCTTCAACCTTACTACACATAAACTAGAACATTTAGCCGCTAACCAATCAGAGCCAGGCTTTCTGACCCGCTGTGAACCACAGCCTCATTACTGTGGATAATCTTTTCTTCCGCTAGAGAAAGCAGTCCCGTGTTGCGGCGATGTTTTCAAGTATGTATTGAAGATTCCGTATCGGAGTTTAGTGATAAGACAAACGCAATAATCGTGTAAGAGTACAACACTGTGTGTATTCATGAACGACTCTCGAGAATAAGGTAAGTAAAAAAAGACGAACAACCCTATCCAACCTATGTCGCGTGCGATGATGTATACCCACATCAAAGGGAAATCTCAAGCACTGTTCACATTATTTTGCTATTTTTCAAAATTCCCCTGGCATGGAGAACGACCGAACTAATCTAAATGATAGTTCAAGCTATTCAGCGTAGTTAGAGACGACTCAATACTGTTTAGAATCCTTTAGAAAATTAAACAATCGAAAGTCAATGGCGCGGTAGGCTAATAATAAATCACAGCCATGTATGCGGGTGGTAGATTATTAAATATTATCTATCTATTCTAGAAACACTTTGATATATATACTTACATATATTCATAATATAATACTACATTTAATATTTACACTTTATTATAAATATCACATTAACAATCGCCATTTTAAAGAATGTGAAAATTTAAATATTAAGATATCAAAACTTTGCTAAATTCGATGCATACTTCTAACGTAAATGAAGAATTCATTTAAGTCTAAATGGACTCAAAAATGTATTTTTATTATTATAATGATCTTCATTATGATCATTATTAAACTTCATAATCCTTTCAGTTCTTTTCATTTCCCCTTTCTCTTTTTCTCTGTCCATTTTATTTAGAAATCATTAATCATCTGTGTGCTAGAGCCACCCTTGTAATCGACCCCCTTCCCGGGTATTAATAACAGTAATTTGTTTTTTGGAAATGAACATGATTTCATCAATAACGAGCATATTACTGGGGATAGCATTTCAATAAATTTGCATATTCATTAACGAATGTTTTGGCATTAGTATTGAGTAAGTGACAGAGGGTCGGGCAGTTTGGCAACACACCATGTGATTTAGGATGGTGGCCTGGCGACCCCGACCGAGACGGGCTTTCGTTCGAATTCTTTCTCTTGTTTTTATAATTCTGACTCTTGTAGCTGATCCCGGAGTTAATGTTTTCTAGGAGCTGTCGTGTGACAAATGAACACGAGAATTGGAACTGAAAGTCGTCTCAACAAAGAATAGCACCTCACACCGTTCGCGCGTGTTGTCGTCAAAATTATACGGAATATTTTCCCCAGTAGAATTCTCATCATTTTGCTTGGCTGAATGCATGCACCCTCCCAAGTTCGGCAAGACCGGTCATAGTTTATAGCGGGTTGAACTAAAGCATGAGTCGCACCCACGGCAGCCAGGTGTACAGTCTTATATTATTTAGCTTAGTACAAAGTTTCTGAACAAATATCATTTTTTCTGATACCACATGGTATTTTATCGTTCTTCAGATAAGTTAGACAATTAATTACGTTAGTTCTAACGTCTTGATATATCTGTATTGTCTACCTGATTGCTTTATGCTATTAAAATGTCTAATAAATCCAATGGTGTTTATTTTATCTCTCTTTTGGATTTATTTAATAAAAATAAGTCTTTATTATCTTAAAATTGGATTCTAAATGAATAAATTCAATAAAGACGTATTGATAAACATGAAGATAAGTCTATTAACTTATATATTAAAAGAATAACGCGTTTGTTCTTTAATCTATCCGTATATTATTGAAAATCAATGCAGGAATTGTATCTCAAGGAACAAAACTGGTCAGCTGTTTGCTTTATTAAGATCAATTTGTTTGCATTTACACGTATGTATTTCTACCAATCATACTCCACATAGAGAACTTCCCATCTCTTAGAATGGCATATACTTAAATCTCTGATGTAGGTCTAGGGAGATATCTTGTTGCCAAGCCGTGGCAATATTCCTGAAATCTGGCAAATTGAAAAGTTTGTCTTTGGAATCTCTTATGCCATTTAATTGAATCAAGAACCATTTGGGCCGCTTAAATCTTGAGATGGACAGGTCAGATTTGTAATAAGTGGTCAACTAAATTGAACTGGACATTGGTTATCCCAGCATCTGACCGCTAGTATCTTTCTCGTTCCCCAGATGGCTTCCACTCTTTCTGTATCTCGACGTTTCACTCGTAAATAAGATTAAATCCTGGTGATACAAAAACATGTGATACGGCGCTTATTTTTATTATTTCCTACATCTATCTTACTCTGCCATATTTTACGATGTGCCATACTTCAGACATATCTTAAAAAATCCTAAAAACGTTGAATTGTTTTGTCTTTATTTATTGTTTTTGCTTTATTTCAGGTCCAAATTTATTTATTATTTATTTATTTATGGGTGCCGATTACATTATCATATTCGTGTTTATCAAATGGGCGTTCCACTACTTGGTCTTTTCAAGTTTCGTGATATCAGAAATCCGTTTTAGGCAGTATATTAATTAATCTAGTTATATAGATATACATCGGAGAGAAAGCTGTCATAGTCTATATTATGCATGTGTTATTATTGCATTAGCCTTTTTTCAAATTATATTAAGGATGATAAATCATTTGTAAACACATAAAATGAGCGCAAAGAGTATTTATCAAAGGATTTTTTATTTACTCTCTATTACAAAATATAATATGTATATATTAGTGAGAAAAAAATGTATAAGATTTTGGGTGCATGATATAAGATTTATTATTCACAAGTTCATCTTAGTTGAAGCGAGGCGTGAATTTATCAAAGAACATAAAAATAATAAAAGCCGAGAACAGCCAGTGAAAGGACGGGAAAAGATATAAAGTAGGATATATGGGGAGACGGAAAGGCTATAACATAATGCCGACAAGCAGATATAATACCAGCTGAATGACGAACAACAAGATTACCGTTACTCGATCATGATCCGTCTTTTTTATACAACATCTTCTAGACAACGGATAGGACAAGGACTATGGACCGAATCTCTACTAAAATCACCCAGGCAGGAAATTAGGAGCAAGTGATTGATTAGATTTTCATCGATCGAATAATATATATAATTTATTACTTATGAGATATCAATATCCGCGAAGATAGTTATCAACAACAAATGTGATTAATATAAGGTAAGCGAAGATGCCTTTTATATTTTTGTATTTTACTCCTTCCAAGAAAGCATCGACTTAATACAAATATTAAGAAAGTATACTACCAAAAAATATAACAAATTAGAATAAAATAGATAATTTTTTTAGTATTTTTGCTTAATCAAAAGAACTTCTTTCCGTTTATTTATTCTACCATGCAATGGGTGATATGACCTTATAAAGCATTAAAAACGAAAAAAAATGGAAGGTTATTGTGAATATTCAAAGACTGCTCAAGCGAGTAACAAGTCACCGATATGGCAATAAACGGATTTTCCGGTTATTATGAATTAGACTCATAAAATATTCGTGTTCACGTTTTCACGCATATTAACATATAACCCCTGAATAAATACCAATAATGAATATTATCAGATTTTCTATTGCATTCAGATTTTAGAACATGCACGACCATGCGTTTAAGTTCTTATATTATGTTTCCATTTGTTTTGTTTTGTGTTATTTTCTAGTGGCGGTTGCTATAATTTAATCGCTATTGTATTTATTAAAGTGGTGATAACGCATGATTCAAACAGAGGCTGTTATAGCAAATAAAAATGTCAGTCCTTTCACCGGATTTCTTTTTTTGTGTTTGGTTATAATCTTGGGAGGTATAATAAATGAATATTTAAAGCTTAAATCAAGACAAACTTTTAAATTTATATCATATTTATTGTAGGTTTCAGCTAAACGTTTACTTTAAAAGAACTTTATTTATAATATGTAGTAGATCTGTATGAAACATGTTCAGTTGTTTAGAAATATTATTGAACAGATATTTTTTTTGTAGGTGAAGCTTTCTTTCTGGCAGATCAAAATGTCTCTTTTAACAAAAAGAAAGTAAAAAAAAAACGTCTAAAATAATAATAGATAATCATAGACAAATTCTAATGAATCTATTTGTTTTTAAAAAAAGGTCCCTACTTAGACAACCCTTGTTTAAGATAAAAACTCCCACAAAGATTTGGTTTAAAGAGGCTTTACTAAATCCAAAGTAATTATGGCTAGTAAATAAGTCAAAGAGTAATATTAAGACAATATAATTTATTCTTTAGTAATTATTCTAATTTCTTAAGCCTAGTTATTGGCTATATAAATAGCGGTAGGTAATTTCTAGGCATTTTTATGACTTATTTTATGGTTATTTATAGATTAGTATGTGTATAGTACCATGCTGCTGTAGCATGTTTTGTTGTATTAAATTTCATTTAGTGTACAACAAATCTCCGCATCATTAAAGTTGGATTTTTTTAGCAGAAAATTAAGCGTAAGTAGAAAACCGAAACCCCTTTATTTTTTTTAAATTAAGAGATCAAATCCATTTTTTAAAGTAAAATAATATTTTATTGATTGTTTACAAAGCATTTTAGTAATTAAAACATTAATCAATCGGTCAATTAGAAAACCTATCAATTAGGCAGATCATATATTTGCATATTCATCCGCTTTTTTCTCGCGCTTCTTTGATTCTTTTTAAGTCAAAGACGAGATAAGATTCTTTTTTCTTGAACTGTTTGAATCTAAAGACTAATAAATTGTCACTATTTGACGTTTTGTGTAATCTAAATGAATTAATAAGATAAATTTGATTGAAGATATTATCTCAAGGCAGATAATCCGCTTCATTATACGATATGCTTAACTGATGCTTTTGAAAAGGACGATTCCCATATCACAACAGTGAATATTTAAGACGCTAACGTCGCCCTTTTCTACGCTATCAATCGATAGCGCAAAGTTACAGAAGTTCGGCAATTCATAGACAACCGCCTGAACCGTCTCTCTTAACAAGCCACGTAGTTCGGCATTTCGGGCATTAGAATTTTACGAAAAGAAATATTTCTTTCATGAGTTATAAGATTAGATTTTAAATGCAGCAATACAAAAAGAATATACAAATTCATTTTAATATATTATTACCAAAAAAGAACTTTTTAAATCGCCAAGCCCTTTTTAAAGCTGAAAAAGAAATATTTAAAATAATTTCTCTTTTCATTTAAAGATTTGACACTGTAATGACCAATTTTACGATGCATTTTAATTCAAATAT